ATCAAAACCTTTCCTACACCTTTTAAGAAACTTTCTGTGAGTTTTGAGAAGTCTCCCATTCAGAAGTCAGACCTTGAAAAAAACTTAAAAAATTTGTTAGTACAAAGCAAGCAAGAGCAGCTCTGATGAACAGACAGCTCTGCAGCAAAACCTGGACTCATGCCTTTTTACTGTGGCTTCTCTGGGTGCCCAAGGAAGATGTTCAAGAAGATTCCCCACCAGTCACCATACACAAACCACAGTCCTCATCAGATGAACTCCACAAGCTCGACAGATGTGTGCAGATTTCTCGGAAACACCCTGTCAGTGTCTGGGAGTCCAGGATTTTAAGCTGAAAGAAAGGAGGGCGCTTAGGGGAAGGAGCAGAGGGTGGGAGAAACCCAGGGTAAGCTCCACTGCCACCACAGCCTCAGTGCTCACCAGCATCAGCACGCTTTATTTAGCAGCCCATGCTGCAGCATCAGGATCCCTTGGCCAGGGTTGTCCATCTAAGCAAGGAATGGCTACTATGGCCCACAGTCAGTATTTGGGTGGCTGAGATATACACAGCAGCTACTTACTCCCTTACCAGGGTCTTCACCTGCTACTTAAATCAACTCTTTATTCTGCTTCAAGATTTCTAAAGCAAAAATGACTACAGGCTGCCAGGTCAGTAAGACGACAGCAAAACCAATGCAGTGAAACTATTCCTCTGCTCTTCTCTAGCTCTGCTACTGCAGCAGGTGTTTGACCCTCATGTCAGGAGAAATTACACCAAGGGTGTCCTGACACAGTTGGGAGTCAGACTCTGACTCAGCTTCATAGTCAATTTGTGGCACACAATTACTATGGCTGTTGAAGGAGGTATTAGCATTTCTGTACAGAACAGGACTTTGTAGTACAGGTCTTTTGCTGGTTACAACCACTACAAAACACTTCGCCTCTGAGGTTTATCACTTTCTAACACCCCAGAACTGCCCAAGGACCACATATGGTTTTCTAGAGCTCTACTTTCATGAGGTCTGCATTCTGCTAGGTTGCTCTTCTTACAAAGAATAATTGGGTCATTTATACCAAAATGGAGAAGCCAGAGAAAACAATGGGAAGTTAGTCACATACAAGGTTTAGACAGGAACATGAGAATGAAGAATGTGGGAAAGCAGAAATTTCAATGGGAAAGCATAATCCTCACTTCTTTTGTAATGTTGATATAAAAATCATAACCAAAGCCAGCAGTTTTGTAAGCCCCTAGAGACTCCTGCCACAGCCTGCTGTACAGACTAGAATGCAAAACCCTTGTGGGAGAGGACTTTATTTCCTCCTAAAGCTTTTCATCCTCACACAGCATTTCTTAGATTTACCAGTTTATGACTAACGTTCTTCTCTAAGTCACCTGGTTTGTTTACTGTTAGCTGCTGCTACCACCACCTCCTCTTCCCCGAGCTGCTAAAATTAGCATTGCAAAAGGATTGAACATCCTTGAATGAAAACTAGCTAATACTTCATGTAAACCATAGGATGCACGTGTGCCTACAAAGCACCTTGTAGCACAGGGACCAGAGTGCTGATATCAGGAAAACCGCCCTCCATAACCAGGCACAAACGGTAACGGGAAGGTGCAAACCCAAAAAGGTATTGCCTATAGTTTTGTCTTTCAAATGCAAAAGCAGCAAGCAAGTTTTTATTTCTTGTTTAGATACAACCAGATTTTGAAATAGAAGTGCTAAAACCACTACTAACCTTAGGATATTAACCCAGCTGCCCTAGTTCAGCAGTTGCCTTCCCTACCTGAACCTTTAGCCAGCACCAAGGCAATGTTCATGTGCATTAAAAACAAGTTATATTAATACACAAAGTCCTTTATAAGCAGATTATTCCGATGGTGACAGCTCCAAGACAGAGCTTTTTCCATCCACGTGCATCTGGAGGTCCAGCAAACTAAGCTCTTTGCACTTTTCATTCAGCAGGCATTCAAGACTTGTTCTGCAGAACCCACCCTGATACTGCCGTCTGGACAGACCCAACACACTTTTTCAGCATTCCTGTACTATGGCTCAGAAGGAGCCATTAGTTTACGGAGATTAAGAACATTCCCCCACAGACAGGAAAAGCAACTTTAGCCCTTTCAAGCTGGAGCAGTCAGATGATCCCTCCCTTGCTTAAAACATCATTATCCAAGATCCCTTCCTCCTCGTGCCTCATCCTCCTGTCAGTCTGCAGCTTAAATCCCTTGCGTTTCCAGTCACATTTTATTTGCATTTACAGCTATGCAACACACTAAGCAATTCCTCTCCATCTTCACTTCTCGATGTTTAGATTATCTCTTTGCTAAGGAAGAGATTCATCTGACATCTTAGATGTAGGTATTTTCCCTTTACAGACAACTGTTTTTATCCAGTAACTATTTGCTCCAGATTTCCTCTGCAGCTTGTAGAGGCTACAGTTAGATTTGGGATGTGTTTCACTGAAAATACTAGCTGGCCAAACTACACCTTTTACTGGTGCCTACTAATGGTTGAACGGAGTTTAGAGAAGACTACCAGTTCACTCTTCCTTTAGCCAGGCTGCAACTACAGACCCACACTGACTTGTAGCTGTGTTGTGTATGTGTACATTATACATTATGCATAGCTGGAAGGAAATCTCTCCTCCTTAAACCTCCTGGCTCATGACACACCAATACAAATAAGAGTTACAGAAGAGGCAAAAATAAAGCCAGGATCAGGCTAATAATGATTAGAAACTCAACACATTAAAAAGCAAATCCATGGAACCTTAAATATTTCCCCCACATACTAGCAGTTGCTTTGATTTTTGCACACCTAGCTGGAAGAAATGGAGTAAGAGGAAGTGGCAAACAGTTTATGCAAAAATACAATTACAGCAAGGTGTCCTTAAGGAATTCCATAATTAAAAATAGTATGCAAATACAGCTGAGTGACTAGCCTTCTTGAAAAACACCTACTGCAGCAATAGGATTTAAAAACAATAATGATCAGGCCTTCTTCCAAGGGCAAATTAAAGTAAACAAACTGCACATTTCAAGAATGTTTTTCTACTCATCATCAATTCACTTTTGGGAAGAAAAAAAATAACAAAGCATTTCTAGTACATAAAAAAAACCAAACCCAAAACATTAACTCAAAGCGAAGGACGAAGAAAACAGAAGAATACAGGAACCATATCCAAAAAGTGAGCTCCTACTTCACTCCCAACTGACAAACATAGTTAAATATTTCAGCCCAAAACTTTGAATGTGTAGGGGAATAAGGGATAAGCTTTACTGCACTTATTTCTCTACCAGTTTACCATTTTTTCCTCCTGTTTTTACGTTCAGAGTTACGACCAACTTGCCAGTACAACTCTATAACTGCAGCTACAGCAAACCCCAGGCTTTAGTGGAGAGCTCTTGACCTAGCAGTAAGGGCTGGAGACACCGAGGACTGACCCATGCCACTCAGCTGAACCACCCCATTGGCCTGAACATACGACCATCTGCTCAAAGTTTATGTGAAAGGGTGAGCTTCGTTACCCTTTACCTTGGAGTTTGCTACAAAGGTCTGCGCAAAGGAAAAAGATTGAGCTAGAAGTAGTAACATAGTTGATCAGAAGGTTTTCAAAATACAGCAAGAGCCTGAAGACTAAACACATTCACAAAAATGCCTGCCCCATGTAGTTACTGTAAGCATATACTAAGGACTGAGAATGGATTCACCAGCCATGGAAGTATTTGGGAACCCTATCATGTTTTTACAGCAAAAAGCATGTCCTAGTTCAAATCAGAAATCAGTTCTGGGAAGTCCTACTGTTTGTTACACATCAGATTACATGAGGAAATCACAAATGTCCCATCTAGTTTAAAAAACAATTTGATAACAGGACCTTAAGCAGTATCTCTTTGGGGATGGAAGGAGTACGTGGTAACTCCGTACTGCACAGTTAAATAAGAATTCAAATAAATCACTGAAACCAACAAGGCAAGTCAAACAGAGCTTTCAGTTTTTGCTTGATACTCCAATCATGATACCTCTTCCAGATATCAGTGGAAGCTGATAGCAGCTCGCTATAAATTCTTGCCCAGTCTCCTTTATCAGGCCTCCCTCTCACACACACAGGGGGATAAATATCAAAGAAATATTGCCAAATGAAAACACAAGTCTTGTTGTTAGATTATAACCTAGAAATTGAGTAGAATCTATAGCCTTGTTACTTCTACCCCTTAGAAAATATCTGACAAGCTCTGAACACATAAAAACAACCCTTATACCCTAAAGTTCAAAAATAATCCATTAAAATGATTATTTTGGGAAGCAACTGAGCAAGAGTTCTCATTGATTTATTACAGAGATCTCTACTTTGTCAAGTTAAAGGAATGCTTGTCTTCCACTTTTCTGGTTTAACTATCCTGTCTTACAAGTCAGCAGTTCAGATCTGCTGAGGTAAAACCCCAAAAGTCTCACAGGTGCCTCTAGCCATGAATGACAATTTTGTCTCATATGCACACACATATACATACACACAAACCCTAACAAGTAACACTTGAAATCTATAGGTATTCTTATCTGTATTTCTTACAACACTTACCGGTAATTCATATACTGTTAAGAGACATGTGTTTTAAGACATATTACTTGTTGAAACAGCTGCCAAGGAAATATATTGGTCACCCCTTCAGAAATCTCTTCTTACAATTACTACTAGACAAAAAACACCTACTGCAACCACACTAAGGTTGAGTTAATTCTAAGATAACCTGCAGATGTCAACACCAAGACTTCAACTAAGCAGCCTTTGTCATGTAGTGAGGTATGTTGTGAAGAATGCAATGAGGACAAAAATACCCAAGTGACCCAGAAACCCTGAGAATACTTTTAAGTTCCTCCTAGGGAAGCATCAGTCCACGCGCTATCCACACATCAAGCACACCTCAAAATTCTGATGCCAACTTTTGCAGTTTAGAGAAGCCTTATTTCAGCAGGCTTAAACCATTCCTTTCCACAGAGCATTAATTTTATACTTACGTAAAAAGTGTTTTTCCAGTAAGGCTATTTCCAGGTGACCTTTGATCTCATTCAGTCTGTCAGACTCTGTTCTGTTAAAATCCTGGACTCCTGAAGCCATGATGATGGTCCCTGGACCAGCCTATAAGAAAGCCAGAACACACTCACAGCTCGGAGGCACATTTTTTTTTTTTTGTCATTTAAATACATCAACTTACTTCTGGGGCAGTAAAGATGCAAGTATCAACAACTCTGCATGCCTCTTATTCAGCATTAAATTACCAAAATAAATGAGTGAAAACTAATCAAATGCACAGCATCTCTCCCATGTGAGTTTACAGAACGCACTTCTGCAGACCTCAGGGAGTTACAGAAAACAAAGATATTTTCCCCCCCTTACCAGTTCTGCTGCATCATCATTTAGCCTTTCTTCTGCTGACTTAAAAGGCATACTATTCCTCTCCTCTTCCTATTAAACGAACTGTCAATTCAACATACTTTACATATAAAATTGTGAAGCTAGCAAATGTAATACTTTTCTAGATATTTACTGAGCTATTAGAAAACACATATTGTCTATTTTAATATCCATTTATGAAGTGTGTAATTCTGAAGACCACGGTTTCTCTGCACAGAAAGGGTTCCCTGCTCCCCAACCTCCAGCACAGCCCAGTTACTGCTGAAGGATGTGGTCAGTGCCCAGAAGCTCATCCTGGCAGGCCAGGAGAGGGGGGAGTCAGGAGACTGCATGTCTCGAGAGATTTACCAGCACCCCTTGAACAAATTCAGCACTGGAAATACTGCAGAATGCTGGAATTGAAGAGCAATTTGATTAGTTAGGAATGACAATGACAACCACCACCTCCATGAAGTGAGCACAGAAAAGCCCCAAGCCCACACAGCAGAAGGCAGGTGATGCTGTCCTTCCCTCAAAGTGGGCATTTTCAGACAGCAGTGGAAAGGGTGGGTGAGGGCATCTCCTGGGTAAAGGTTGTTCAGGCACTGTGTGCAGCCCCCACCAGGTACAAAAAGTCTGCCAACAAGTATTACAGGAGCTTCTCCAACAGTTTGTACTCAAAATCAAAGTGCTAGATTACAGAAGCCTACACCTAAGAAATGACCTCAAGACAAAAAGAGATTTATTTACCTATCCTAATCATTCCCCCACCCTTTGTTTGAGCCCTGAAAACATACAGGAACTGTATTGCTTTCAAAAGTCAGCTTGCATACATTTAATCATGACAGCTTAAATTACATACATATATGAACTCAACTAATCTACAAGAGACTTAATTAAAAGACATTTCTATGTTTTAGGAAATATGTGCAGAAAGCTCACTGACAGCAAAGTACTTTCACTGTTGGGAATGATTTGCACTTTTAAGATAAAACAGTGCGGAGATACCTATTAAACATCTGTTTTCTTGCTTGAGCTGAACAGATGCTGAGTTTAAGCCTCAGAATTTGTCTATACAGGCAAATTAGCACTCTGAAGGCATTTATTGCACAGCGTTTACCTGGCAGCAACTCCCCACCTGGGCTTGCTCAACACAGTGCCAAGCAGAGATGCTATTTCCAGCCCCAAAAGCAACACACGCCCACACAGCACTGTGCCAACACTGCTAGCCCCAATGAGGAGCAGAAGCTGTTAGCTGAGCAGCAGCCCTGCGCTGCTTCCCATTTTGGAGCCGGCATGAACCACGCCATAGCAGAGACGGACAGACCCCAGGGCAGTCCTCACACGGGGAGCTGCAGCACAGCATCCTCCTCCCCGTGCTCCACATTTCCCGTTCACACCTGCCTTTAGCCAGAGAGGTGCAGTAAGACATGCCATTTGCAACCACTCCAGCCTGCTGAAGAGCAACTGCTGCCTGTTTTCAGACGAGCATGGGATGGCAATTAACCTCTGTGTTGATTTCTTATCAATAGAGCTGGGCTATATTTATTTACACTGCAAGATTCAGTGTTATCACTTGCCAGACACTTGGAGGGTCCCAAGGAGGTTGGCCTGGCTGAAGTCGAACAGCAGCACCCTTACAACACACTCTACAGGCAACCACAAGGAAAGTGTTATTAAAATATAGATTGCTGCCCAGGTGTTGAAGCATGGCTTTCCATACTGTATATCCATATCTGGTACAAAGAGACAATCTCAGCTCCCAGCACGCAGGAGTTCATACGGAATGGTCTAAAGGAACAGTGCCACTGTTTAAAAATAAATAAATAAATAAAATCATGTATAGGTCAAAGAGCAAGATGCTGTACTCATCAGGAATGCACCTGGGCTCTGCACATCAGCCCAGTGCCTAGACCTGCCCAACCAGTCCCTGCTCCCCAACCCCATGGGCTGTGGTGGGGACAGGAGCACAGAGGCTGAGGTGAGGGATGAGAGGAAGAAGGGGCTAGCAAATATCTAAGTATATTCAAGTTTTCAACCTCATTGAAGATACTTGTAAGGTATTTCACCCAGAGGTGAGCTACATTTCAGAAATCCATCTAGAGAACCAGCTCTACTTTTGCTTCTTTCAGAGATGTTAAGACATTAATTAAAGCCCAGGATACCTTGGCTGTGCCTCTTTGGAAGAAGGAAAAAGCAAGAGGTGCATAGCACTGCGGGCAGTAATGCAAGTTAACAGGACTCATTCTGAAAGTTTCCAAATGTGTCTATCTGCTAAAGCATTGGATCCAAGAAGTCTGACATCAGTTGATGGGTTAAAAACCAGGAGGGTACACATCATTAAACTAACACAAAAGGTTACAATGACCTAAGTTAGAGAAAAAAGAAAAAAAAAAAATCCACTAAGTTAAAACATAAGGCTGCTTGCTAAGAATACTAGGAGCAAGATCATGTAATTATCGTGTAATGATAAAATGTTTTAAACAGAGTAGTAAGATACATGGTGATACAAGTTTGGTGGAAAATAAAGCATCCATTTCCAAAATTAGTGACACCATAACATATTAATGAATACAATTTAGAAGCATTTAGAATGTCCAGGACAGTGATACGGGAGACATTTAGGCAGATGGTTCTTTTGTCCAGAAGTTTCTTCCCCACACCAACATACCTTGTTCTGTCAAGAGGTGTTAACAGGCTAAAAAGATAAGAACTAACGTCTGTACATTTGCTGGAAGTCAACTGCCTGCCTCTGAATTCATAAAGTACCTCTGTCTGAAGTTAGCATCACTGACTCAACTCACAAGTTAACAAAAAATGATCTTGTATTAATTCCAGTGTTAACTGGGTAAAGGTTTCTCCTTTCTGCTGCCTCTGTAGGCTAGTGCTAGGACTTGGGCTGGATTAACTACACTGTACTGTACAGATGCCCTTTCTTGCTTCTGACTCACAGTAAAGGCCTTGAAGGCTTCCACAGATTTCTGCTTTTCCTTCTGCACCTCTAGCTTTGACAGTATTTGACACAGGAGCCCTCTTAAAATGTTGGCAATCACTATTGCTTAGTGAAGACCGCACACAAGGCTTGGCGGTGCCTAGGAAGCCAGCAAAATGCCAGAGTTGAGCGTGGAGTCAGAGACAGAGGGGTTAAAAGAAGATTTCTGATGACAACAGATTGCCTCTAACCCACTATCAGAGTTCAGAGTTGCTGCTCCAAGCCACATCCAGCTCTGGATCCGAAAAAACGCATCTCCCCACAAATGTGTTTTTCAAGCCATCTGCAGTTCAGGCTTTTCATAAGAGCACCTCCCAACCTGAGAGTTCTCTCCCTTCCCTCCCCGAATCCCCTTCATCCTGCGAGCCACGGGATTTTGTTCTGTGTGCCGAGCACCGACGCCACCGTTGCTGTACAGCCACAGAAAAGGTCTAAGTCACTTAACCCAGCAGATGCCGATCTGTCCTCTCCACCCGCAGCACAGCACATCTTCAGCATCACACAGAAACGTAACTGGCCAACTCTCTCCTTTTATTTTAATTGCACAACATCGTATGCAGATTATTCTTCTCCAGGAATATCTAACAAAACACTGGTCTCATTTCCAAGTTTGTCATTAACTTAGGGAGGAGCAGTTCTCAAACACAGAGGATGGGGAGCAGCGAGGACACGGCATGCCAAGCCCAGAGGCGTAACCATCCACCCAAGTCACTCCTCAGGGCCCGGCAGTGGCCGGGATACGACACAGGGAAGAGGTAGTTTAAAATACAAAATTTTAACTTGCATTCATTTAAGCAGTGAAGCAGGGCAGGGGAAACAGTCTTCAGTAATACAACAAAACACAGAGCTTGCTAGAGAGGTTGCAGCCTCCTGAGTTTCTCAACTGACACTTTATGTGTATTTTCTTACTTCAAATTATGAAACGGTTCCCTGTGGCTGCTGCATTTACCTGCTGTAAGGAAAGGGAAAACCCAACAACACTGCTCAAGAACAAAAGCATCTGCATGAATAGTTAATCCTTAGAAGCTATTCTTGGAAGCATACCCATATTGGCAAGCTCCTAAAACACAGCTATATTTTACATAAATTTAAAAAAATCTAGCACTAGCCAGGTTTAGAGACTTTAATCTTAATTGTAATGTTTGCATCATGCTTTATACCTTCCAATCACTGTAAATGAGGTGACCGATACAGAAGCATTTAAGGTTTTAATTGACATGTTTCAGGAAAAGCCAAACTGTACTGCAACAGCAATTAATTTAATGTTTTCTGTACCACAATAACTCAGATTTAATCCTAGCACACTGGCAGGGAACTTGCATAAGTAGATTAGACTGCAGATTTCAGTACAATATGCCAGGTACAAGAGCGCTTCAACTTGTAATTCTCACTGCCAAGTTAGCGTAGAACCTCCACAGATTTAAACACAAATTTGTTCTTTCCCCCCTCTGCCGAAGGGGATGTGATCCTCTTCTGCACCGAGTTCATTCACATACCTGTACGTAGTACTGAACATTTTCTCCCCTTTTATAAAAACAGGGCATTTGTCACATTAAGAGAACATAAATTCATCTATACCACAAAATATCAGTTGAAATTAGGCAAATCAAGCCAGAACTGGCAAATACAAGGGCAGGCTATAATTTTCAGGGCATAGTCCCCCTCCCTGAACATTTGCATCTTAGCAAATCAAGTTGCCAGAGCAATGTTTTAAAGCTTTTTTAGGTGCAGAATTGTGATCTAGCTGGAAGGAACCCATCTACAGAATAGGAAACCATGATAGCACTGAATAATGGGGACTTTAATTACCAAGCAAGCAACATTACCTAAATTTCCAACATCACAACAAGACAAATGCTGATACGTTCACTATGAGGAAGTAGGAATGGACCAGGTTACACCCTCTATCTATTTAGTGATTGTGGTGTTTTTACAAAACAATGCAGAAATAACAGTGCTGCATACAGTGCTGAATGTCCTTGCTTTAAAAAAAAAACAACAACAAACCAACCACCTATGGTAAAGAGGGAAGGGAGGAAGAAATCTGGGAAGCCATTCAGGAACTGAAAGAGATGCTCAGCAAAGAGTTAATTTGTTAACCAACACAGCTGTCTTGGCAATGATCTGATCACAGTGCCCAAGTACCCACAGAGACCTAAGAAAGTACCTGCTGCCCAAGACATAACTGGTAGTCAGGGCACTTAAATGAGAGGGGAAAAGTACGCACACAAGCAAACAGCCAGCCTGTAAGCTGAAACCAAACTAGTTCAAATTAAAAGACACCCTTGAACAAAAAAGTGTCAGCAACCGCTAAGGAGAATTCAAAGGAAAATAACAAATCCTTCCAACTGCAGGGCCCTCCTACCAGAATCTAGCTGTGTGCTTTACCCAAACATGAGTTAAGAAGTTTATTATTGAACTAAATAGGTAAAGCTCAAGTTTTAACAAAAAGAATATAAGATGACCTCATCTGTCCATCCTTTCTGTCTTTCCACAGGGTGTAAATTTTGCACATGCTACTTCAGCAAGACATGTAAAGTGTTGGGACTAAGTCCCACTGCTGTATCTGTGGCCTGGGACTGAACGTTCTCTTCACTTGTTGGAGATGTGCAACAGAGGATGCATTCTTTGCAGGTGGTCAGAGTTCTGCAGTCACACGTCTTTATGACCAGGCTTTTTACTCTAACACCTCCATCTGTGGCAAGTTTTTGCATACACCTGTCAAGTTCAGACACCTATATAAAGAAGAGGCACCTAATGTGCACATTTCTAAGTGCATTACGTACCCTTGAGGCTCAGTACAGAAGGGCCTTTCATTCATATGACTGTGCTGTACTAATAGACAGAGATCTTCCTTTAATGGCTCCATGATTACTATACCAGACTGAAAAAAAACCTACCCAAAAACCAACCAACCAACACCCACAAAAAAAGAACATCACACCCCCCCCCCCCAAAAAAAATAAAGTAGTAGAGAGGAGGAGCAGAGATGAAGCCTTTGTCAAGGGAATGGCTGACAGCGGAGTCAGAGACATCTACATATTGAAGACGTGGATAAGGGGAACAGGACTCAAATTTTGCATGCCTATGCTCAGTTCCAAGCTACCAATCTTGCTCTTTCAAGCCCATGAGTTCTGTACTCAGATTTTAATAGAAACAGTGAAGCAACAGAAGTGGAAGCACAGTATAGCTTACATCTATCTGAAAAGACACGCAGCCTAACTTCAGTTTATGCAGAAGACTTGCAATGACTTTTGTATGCTTTCAACAGTTCTGCAAATGTATTAAACAGGAAGAAACCAAGACTTGGTCTTCTCATGATCAGTGTAATAAAAGTATAACACTAAGCTGCTTACAGAGCCTATAAAAGAAAACCACCCTGCAATTTGAGTTTTAGTCACCAAATTAAAAACAATTCTGGCACAATTCAACCATATGATCTCAATAAGAAACAGAGACATAATTCAGAATTGCCCTGTTTACATGATCTCAGCCGCTACCTTAATATTGACTTAAATATACAAGCAGTACTTTCTTTACTCTTGGCACCTCTGCAGCACAGGGGATTATTTCTTCTCCCTTCATTTTATGGATGGGCGTCAGCATTTAGTGGGCAGATGCCTCCAAGGGGCAAGTGCTAATCCCCCAAAACTTCCCATCTGAAATTCATCCCTTACATGTCAGATCTCCTTCCTCATACAAGTTTGCTTATTTCGCTCCTATCTGTAACACAGCTGCTGCTCTTAGGCTGTTCCAGCATCACACACGGTTTGGAGCTCTCGAACATCATGAGCAGGGCAAAACAAGTCTGATGCTGTTGTTGCTTTCCTCTCTCCCTTTCTCCCTGTTTTTAAAGAACTATACTCAACTGTATCCCAAGGACTTAGATCATGACAGCCTACTTAACAGTATGTCATCCGCCAGAAAGCAAAGTGTTTCTCTTCAAATTACCTTCTCAGCACACTGAGCTCAACAATTTGAGAAAACAGAGACCATCACCGCAGATGCGCAGCTGTAAGGCTTTATAACCAGTGAAAACTGTAGTTTTACCTTGCTATTCCCTCAGCCATACCATCCTGGAGCTGCTATCCTCCTCAAGAAATACAGAAAATAGTATCTATGGTTTCAGACAGATCTTTCTGTAGCCTGCAGTTCTGCCATCCAGATCCTTCTGATTAGATACAAAGGGTATTTATTCCCTGCTCTCCACGCATAAATATAATGCCTTGAGTTTTTTACCTACTGCCAGTATTTACCTACAAAAAACTCAGAAAATACCACGTTGGAAGGGCAGAAGCACAGATTAGTCCCAGTATACACAATACCTACATCTTAACAAATGACAGATGTCTTCAGTAGAATAAGAGCAAAGGAAAGGCATTCAGCAGACTTCCTTGTCTGAGGAGCTTGAGGATTTCATGTGATAGACTTTTTGTGACCAAAAAACGCTCTGTCATTACCAGTTGTTTGTTCCATGATCATAGGAAAAAAATTCTGGCAAAAGAGCTCCATATAAGCAGGATTGTTTGTGATACCATACAAGCCCACTTAAATTTAAAAAAACTAATAGCTACAGAACAGGATACAAGCTGCCAACCTCAAAGGAGATGCTTAAGCATATACAGTTTGAAGTCTTTTAGTTTAACACTTGCGGCGAGCAAGCCCTGTGCTTCTAGAAATGAGCTTTCAGACAATAGCCTGACCCCATTTTGGGTATAAAAACTGCACAGTGAGTTTCCAAATAGGGTGGTACAAATTCTGACTTCCAAGTCACATGCTAGAATACAGTTAGATGGACATATCTTAATTTAGATTGTAGAACTCCAAGCTCAAGGATCCACAGTCATTTTTTAACAGTTAAAGCAGGATTTTTTTTTTTTAACTAATATTTAACTTTTCCTGAAACAGTGTCTTTTAAAAAGGTAGGTCTGTTTGGGTGCTTCTGCTTACAAGCACCAAAAAGTTTTAGCACCTGAAGAGTCTTGCTCACCTCCTGCATAGGTTTAAAACACCTCTATAGCATGGAAGCATTACTGGATACAACACTGCAGTGAAGAACAAGGTGGTGTGACACTCTAACTCTAACGAAGCCACCAGAAGTCTTATCCCTATAGTCCTGGCCAGTGCCACTTGAGCAGATCTGAGCTCCTCAGACTGAAGTCTTTCCTTCAGATGTGTTCATCAGTAGTTCAACGAAACACAAACTAGACAGCATTCAGAAGCACATCCAAGGTTAACAAGCCTGTCAACCCACAGCATTTAAAATCAATGGTAGGGACAAGGAACCCTAATACTAAGAAATTAATTGATCTTTCCACAAAATGGAAGCCTATTACTGGAAGTTTACTTCCTAGTCCACAAATCTTCAAGTGTTAAATCCAAAATATAGGGACAAAGAATTATTAATTTCTGTTATTTTTCTGTCTGACAACTATATAACATACTGTAACGATACTTAAGTCAAGTACTTACAGGGTCTCTCAGCTCTTCATTGTCTCGAGTTGATGTTCGAGGTATTTTCACCGGGATTTCATCTCCACATTCAGTGTCTGAAGCATTTGGAGACTCTGCTAAATCAAGGAACTCATCTCTCTTGTGACCTCTGAACCTTATTTTGTCCAACTTCTTTAGCATGTTCAGCACTGCACTTTTCTGCTTTACCTTAACATGACGGTTGGAGTCTCTGCAAGAAACAAGACATCAAGAGTACTTTAGAAAGCTTGCAATAAACCAAAATACACACATTCTAATCGCTAACTACTTCTAACCATCTTTCAAGGGCCTTCCTGGCACTGGAGGAAAAACATGCTGCAGCTTAGCTTTTTAACAGGCATTTTTTCCCCAGTGTAACAGATGCATGGTTTGTTTTTCAGTAGTTGATGATTTACCATCTTCCCACACTATCATGGCCTCTTTCTCATGGCTATTTTTAAAGCAAGTCATAACGGGCACAAGCTAACAACCTGCACTCCAGAGAAAGATTAGGAAGTCAGTTCCTAACAGGTTACTTGAAACAAGAGAACGTGTAGCTGATAAGTCCACATTCTTCAAAATGCTGATGCTTCTAATCAAAGACATGAAAATCCACTAAGCTTCACAACCAATCTTTAAATCCCAGAAAAACTGGAGCAAAGGAGTCAGGAGTCTATCGTACCTCCCTACTGCTTCAGGCTAAGAAAACAGAAAGTACCAAGGGTTTATTGAAGAAAACCACCAGACAGATCCACGCACAAGATCCCACCAAAAGCTAGAGATTGTTGGAATCACCTATAAACCACTTTCAAATGTACTGCCCAAATCCTTAAAATTACCACTACTTACAATTTTTATTATTCCCTTTGAGACACAAAGGCAAATCACTTTATTAGTGATGCTTTCACATTTTACTGTAAGAGAAATAGCACAGCCAGTATTTTTGCAGAACCTGCAGGTGCCCCGGCCTCCAGAGGAATGAGAAATGCCCAGCACATTTCACTTCCAGAGACAGTATTTGACATGAGCAGTACTTAAATTCTAAATCATAAACCATACAGGGAGAAGCATTTTGCTTTTTAAAAGACAATAGAAGAAAGCTTAATTAACGTATGTAAACTCATTGTAATGGTAGCTTTCCAAGACACTGCACTGTACAACTTCTGATTCAAACCAGACCTGCCAAATCGGTCCAATTCAACGCTCTATGTGTACCACACTCCACATCAAAGGTCCCAAGCTCCATCTTTTGCAGAAGACTGGGGAGGTGGGAAGTTAGTTCCTTGATCCTGCCACTCGAGTAAGCTACTGCTCTGGCAGTTTATAACAAACCAGCCGCAACTTTCTAACTTTCTCTGCTACAAACTCTGTGCCTCAGCTCAGAGCATTCCATTTGGAGGGTGCTGCAATGCTCTCCCAAATGGATTTTGCAAGGGTAAAAATTTATTTTGAGGCACTTGTTGCTGTTACTATCCTTTCTTCCCCATGGTCAACACTGCCCTCCTCTTCATTAAAAAACATGCTTAGCTTCATGGCATGTCATCCCAGGCACTGGTGTGAAATGAAAAAGCAAAGACAGATCTAGACATGCGTCAGTTCAGGAGTATAAATAAAGAGCAAGAAGGAAGAGCCTTTTGCTGCTGGCTCCCACAGCCTTTGCACTTGAGGTAATTCTCACCTCCGAACACAAACCTCTTTTCAACAGAGCTCTTCGTCTTTCCCTGCGGATTCTCCGCTTACCCTAACACTTTGGCAGTGACTGTTCACACCAAGTTCAAACCAGATCGTTCCCTTCAAAATCTGCCTTAGTTTGCACCTCTGCTAAGGTTTACTAGCACCCTTCACTTAAACATTTAAGTTTGAAACCAATACAAATCCCCTATAGTGCAGCTGGCAAAAAAACCCACAAAACTCTTCCTTTATCAGAGATGCTTAAAGTTGCAGCCCTGTGTTTAATCTTTCACTTAAAGAGAATCACTTGCAGTAACTTACACCAAGGTTATTTTCCAATAACAGCTTTTCTTTGAAGTTCTATTACTTGTCAAAGCTAAGTTTAAAATAGCAACACTTCTTGCTCATTCATGGACTATTTGATGAAGAAACTTGTCAGCTATCACATCCAGAAATATCTCTAGGCCCTACTACTAATAGCAACTAGAGAGCAAATGCTATCAGGGAAGTTTAAACCCCTGATAAGCACTGGCACAATTGTATCACACTCCCTCCCATCTCAAAGATCTCCATCTATGTTCAACCACTTTCACATACCATGTAAGTCAGGCCTACAGCAAAGCAGTTGTAAACCAAACTCCATTTGCTCACCATCCATGCCGTCACTGGTAATGACACAGCTACATGAAGAAATAAGGATGGTAGAGTGCTATCCTTTCCTGCTCAGCGCTCATCAGCCCCTACCAGTGGAGGACAAGCATGCATCCCAAGCCTTCTCCAACCCTCTCACAGGTGGAGCAGTTAAGGCTGCAGACGAACATTGCTGTCCTGGGTGGAACCAGGAGTCCCTAGCGTTCTCCTGTTAAAGCCACATTTATCCACTGCTCCCCAAAGAGCAGGGCTGGATCTGGACCTCTTTTTATAGCCTGGCATATACAGCACTTCAATGGATATTTCAAGATCTGAATTCAGTTTTCCCCTTAGAGTGGATTCACATTCACTTACCACACAAAAGAAGTGAGAGGCAACAAAACCATCTTGAGACAGAGCAATCTCCAACCCTTCTCTTCAAGCTTTGCCTTCAGGCAATGACAAATGAAAGACCCACAGGGCCAGTGAAAAGGCCCAGCAGTGTAACTGCCTGGGTTGGACCCCATATGGGAACACAAAATCCTGAACTCCAGCCTCCTCCTAGGATGGTTCATGCATTTCAGCCCTTGGTCACAGAAAAACCTGGCCAACAGATGTACCCACAAACACATTTACAGTATTTTGTTACTAGTAAAACTGATGTACCTATCCTTAAGTGTGTTACTACCCGGTCTTCTAAAAATGCAAACCTTTCTTTAAAGCCCTAATAGATCACTCCACTGAACAGAGTCAGCTTAAATTCTGTAACACAGAGGCTAGCAAAAAGAGACATCATCAGTGTCAGTATTTTTAAAGTATTAATCAGTAGGTTGACCATTAAAAGATGAAACAGTAAAGAATCATGTTTCTAGGCATTTTTAAGTGCTTTAAGTACAAGAAGCTGTTATATAAAAGTATCTGCTCAGTTATAATTTAAAAATAATAAGATCATTTTGTCTAAAAATTGTTTTGAGTGTACCAGGCTCTCAGATTACTTACAGTTACATTACATTAACCTAAGCAAAAACCTAAGCTTGCCAACAAACTCCTATAGAAACTCATCATCTGGCCTCCAGCCAAACGTACGATCTAAGACAGGCTTTTTATGTCAGCAGCTGTTCTTGCAACTAGCAGCTTTTTTTTTTTAGATTAAGATCAATAAATATGGCAACATTTCGGCACTTTCAGGCTCACTAGGAAAAAAGCTTCTCACAGATTTTGTATTCCAAGTGACCCGGGTCAAATTTAGATAAGCTTGAGGAAGCTTTTGTAAAACATGAGACCAGAATCTGATCTAGACTTAGATTTATTGTAAAATATAGGAACTAAATATCAAAACATTTGCTTCACCACCATAGCTATTCATCCCCTTACCCTCTCCCTACTACCCATCCACATCCTGGACTCAGCTGGTTCAGCTCTAAGTTTCGGGCTGTTTCTAGTAACTCCCCATACCAGCAACATCAAAACCAACATGCAGTTTTGCACATGCACAGCTCAAAGTGCAAATGCAGACCCACATCTCCCTCTGCTCTCAAACTAACCATAAAGAAATATTATGAAATTATAATAAAAATACAAATATTTTAACTCTGTGCATTGTAAACACTCATTTCCCAACACTGTCATACACGTGACAATAATTGTTCTCACTACCATACAACAAACAAGCTATAAATAAGAATCAAGACTGGTATCATGCTTGCAAATTACTAACTTCAGCAACATAAAATCAAATCTGTCCTCCCCAATCAAGTTTATTTCTGCATACAAACACCCTACCATTAATGTAAGCAACAGGAGATCTTTCCCACATTCAATGCTACAACAGAAAATGCTGCACAGCACAGTAAGGCAGACGCTGACTCTGCAAGACTGATTTAGGTCCAACTTTGTTGCACCTCAGCCAGATCTAATAATACTAGCAGGTCCTCTGTTTTAACATAGTAAGGCTATCTTACATTAACATGCTTACAAACAAGGCTATTCAGGCACCCAGGTTTTTGAGAAGGTGGCTTTTATTTCTCTTGCTGCAGTAGCAGAGGTCAAACTGGCAGAATTATACAGCAGCCTGCAAAGTTATTGTGAAATCCCAAACCATCTATTAAAAAACTAGGCAACAGTTTATGTGTACAGGGTTTGATTAGTGAAAAAAGTCTGTATTTTCCACACTTAAAAAAACCCCCACCCTAAAATAATCTTTAAAGGTGGTTTTTATAATTACCATTAATGTCTAGTTGCTAAAGCAAATCCTTCACGGCTGAGGTTTTATTCCTTTTACAGAGGGCCAGAGAAGAAATTCCTTTATTTGGACCTAATATGAAAACCCTCAATTAACCCCCAAATAACAGTCAGACGTTCAGTTTAAATGAACATATCAAGACCCAAAACCCCAAACCAACATAAGCACACATTCCAAACTTATGCTAAGTAGAGAAAAATCAAGTTTTCCCAAACTTTCACATAAAAATCATAAGGAGATCTAGCACAGCTTTTTCTGCCACGTTTACAGAGAGGCTTCAGCAAGGAGACAGCCAGCTGCTGGGGAATGACAAAAGCCAGCCTGCCTGGTGCAGTTTGAAGGGACTTTGGTACAGGGCTTGCTCCTACGGACATGGCCCTCACCCCTTCCTGCCGCTGCTCCACCCATGCTCTGCTCTTGCACGATCGTGGAAGAGGTTGGGATGCAGAAGGGAGGAGGGAACTCAGGGAAAGGTCAGTCCCCTGCACTAAAAAAAAAACAAAACAAAAAAAAACACCAGCAGTCTTTTCTGGACGTGCCTAATTAAAACTGGAAACCTCAGTGAGTACATCTAAGCCTACAACAGATTCACAGTCCAGCTCTATATACTGCTCTGTGCAAAAAGTTCCTCTTGCTACATGATTTTTTTCCCCCCAATTTCT